CTCCAACTTTTCTGATTACGCAAAAGAAACAATTGAGTACATCTCATTTTAGCGAAAATAGCCCTACCTGAGATATTCTTAGAAAAGAAGATTTATTTCTTTCTGATACTCACCGAAACAACATTGACCAAGACATAGAAATCCAAGGATCCAAATAAATAGTGAAGTATTTGTAAGTTGGCATATAGGATTACTGAACTTAGTTGACGGTTTATTTTGATAGACGTTAGAAAGTAGAAATGTAATTCAGAGATCTCTGGAAGGATAATAATTCCATTGTAGATGACAGCCTCAAAAATAATACATAATTTCGTTTTTCTGTTGATTACAAAATCGATAACCACAGTGAACATTTATTATCAATTCGAAACTACATTAAACAAGAAACTTTAATTTTGCAAAATATTAGTTTGAGTATATATTTTCATGGTATGATAGTGAAAATTAAATAAATTTTATTTCATCATCAATATTAGCACATTATATCGAAAATGCCGAAAGTAGTTATATAAATACCACATTTACAAATAGAAAAATGGATCATACACATGGATACACATTAAACAACACACCAAGTTTTTATATGATCGTCGAAACATAGGTATGTATATATTTCAGCAGCAAATTCGATGTTGGTGGTTGAAGTAATCATCAACACAATTTGAATTCATTCTCAATGCCATAATGCCTGTTCTCATTTTCATCAAATAGATGAGATAATTCAAAAGTTCAATACACATATAGAATGGATTGTTTTAAAGTAGTATGTTTAGGTCTGATTTGATATAATATAATACAATATTTGAATTGAAGGGGTTATATTTTTAGGAGTGATTAATTTTTGAAAAAGAAAGTTTTTGGCTTTCTACTACTCCATCTGATACAAAAAAAGGGATGAGAGAATCTTCCAAAGAAAGGATAAAAAAACAGTATATGAAGAACCGATAACTAATTATAAATAAAAATAGATTTCACATACTTTTTAAATCTAAGGAAAGGTAACCTCAGTTTTTCAATATCATTGCAATGAGTATTGAATGATCTGACAAATCTGCATAAAGGAGAGTTTTTTCCTGAATAGGTTTTTCTAAATGGTTTCGCAAGTCTCTGCGAGGTGTATTTAATGAAATTTTTGTTATCAACGTAGGACAATCGACACGTTTATTGAAATGTCTTATATTTCTTATAATGAAACCCTATAAACGATTACACATATTACCGGTCTTCTTAATGTGGGATTTTAAAATCATTTTGGAATCCATTATCACTCCCAAATCGCGTTTTGTTTGTGTGATTTTCTATTTGATATTGAAACTCAATGGGATTTCTATTTCTGGTGAAAGTTATTTTGTGACATTTATCGAGATTTGAGTATAGGCTACTATTGCCACAGATTTCTGCAAATACTACAAGATCATTTTACAATCTCTCATAGTGCTGGATTTCTTTGAAGGTTCGATAAATCTTGAAGGTGTTAGTTTCGTCTAGAAACATATGATGCTAAGACATAATTATTGGAATATATCATGTTAACTTTCAATTCTGGGCACTATAAATGCGCGATACATTGTTTTAGTTTTGATGGATTGGCAATTGCATTAATAATTTTGCTCAAAATGTCTTTCTTCATAGACTTCTGAACACGTTGTTGAACTTAGGGAAGATATTTGAAAACATTTATTTATACTTTGATCCTTCCCCTTGACTCCTAGAATATTGGGAATATATTTACAAAAGACTGCAATAACTGAGTGCGGTATTGAATTTTTCGTGACACCTTGTAATAGAGAGTTATTTCATATAACGTTCAATAGAGATTTGGCCCAGGTGTCCTCAGAACAAAGACCCGAGCAGACTATTGTCCTGCACAAAGCCCCGGGAATCTTGTTTCCTGTTCAAGATTGTTCCACTCTTTGCTTTGCATTTCTCTTTGAAAGTAACATTTTAGAACTGCGTAATTTTCTTATATAACACACATGACATATACACGGAGTCATCCACAGGAGCCAAACAAGTATTGCCCATCCTCACACTTGGCCGTACCGCGCTGACGAGGCCGATAAACAGAAACAAGAGTCCGCGGTTTTGCCCAATTTTCCGCTTTTTCCGCTTATTTACCACTTTTTGATTCATATCGAATACACGCGTCAACATTTTTCAGTATATATCACTGTTAGATATACGAGTACACCTATATTCTGTAATATTAAAAAGAAAAAAACAAATTTGATTCACCCTATGATCAAAATTTTCCGTCTTGGTATTTGTCATTGTCAAATAAATTGATTTAGACTTTCGCAGCCGAGATTTTCATTGTTATGATCTTCATTCAGGTTTGAAGGTCGTCGTGGTTTGGAACTGTATCCTAACATTTCGCCAGCATGAGTGGCTGTCATTGTCATTGATTTCAATTAGAATCAATGAATGCTCTTCTTTTTCATTAGATATTCCAATTTTTACAAATAACCCTACGTTAGTGAGTACTCTACTTTTATTTTTATAACATCAATTAGTATCCATTTTCAGTTGTCGTGGGAGAGGGATCAAAAGGTGTCGAGAGCTTGACAAAACAAAATCTTCTGTAATCAAACTATATCATTGGCTGCAACCACAAAAATTATTCATATTTAATATTACCAGTCACAACACTTTCTTCTCTTCATTTCTCAGCCGAGCGTGGCCAACAAAAGTATACTTTTTAAATAGAACACCAAAGATTCCATATTTCTTTGGCTCCCCAATGAATTTTTGTTTTCGAATTTTCATTGCGGCATCGCCAAGTTATTCCAGAAAAACCTTTTTTTCAGACAATAATTTTTTAATTCACCACCCACACGTCTACAGCAATTGAGTGGATTTTTTTAGGAATAGTTAGTCAACATCACTATGATAATTTCTTGAATCCCAACTTCGGGAAACAATATATAGGGTGCTCGGTAAAACCGGTCAAGTTTCATTCATTTTCAAACAGACATAATTCAACTTTTTCATTAGGAACCCTCTGTAATTTTTCATTTGTATGAAATGTTTCAAATCTGAGGTGTACTATACAAAAAACTGTACTATAAAAAGATCCACTCATTTGCTGTAGACATGCGGGTGGTGAATTAAAAAAATATTGTCTGCAAAATATGTTTTTCTTGAATAACGTGGCAATGCCGCAATGGAAATTCGGAAACAAACATTCCTTCGAGAGCTAAAAAAAATATGGAATCAAATGATTCATTCATATACTGGGTGTTCCATTTAAAAAATATAACTTTGTTTGGCCACGCTTGGCTGAATCATCGATATGACATATGACATATGAATCATCTTGTTGAATCACCCTATATAACTCCTCACAATCATTGTCGAATAGAATGACTTTCGTTTTTGAATCATCAAGAAGAAGTTTGTGGAATTATGATTCTGAAGCGATCATTTTCAGATTTTCATTAATTCATACACTTAAAAGAAAACTCTCCGATGACGAAAATGATAAGTACAGGATAAGATGCAGGCAGGTGAGTTGGTCATTGGATTGTTTTTCGACGTATCCCGTGCCTTCAATACTCTTAACTTCAATTTCATATTGACAAAAATGTATGCACTTGGTACAGTGTCATCCCCAAAGTATGCACCATATGGGAAGCTTATTTATTAAGGGTTTTTCGAAAAAATGTTACTCCTAATAAAAGTTTCTGCATCCCCTAAAACTAAACATGCACCAACAAAATACAGTAAAACACACGTAATATACGAGAAGCCTTCAAATATTTGATTTTGAGACAATAGTAAAGTACTCTTATTTTGAAAAATCTCGTGAAATGTTATTCAAAAAAGTTGTTCGGCATTGGAAAGTACATCCCAATTTGAAGTCATGGCCATCCTAGTGAAGTTTTATTTTTTAAACCCAATTTTTTTGAATGGGGACTACGAAAAGAAAAAGTTGATAAAACGATAAATAGACAGCATCCTGTATACGACAGTTTATTTTGGAAGCCTGCATTATTACAAAATACACGACTATGGTGTTGACTACAGTCAATTTTTTTGAAAAGTAGAATGATTTTCGAAGTTTTTGGTGCAGTTATTTTTATTTTTCGTTAACACCGAAAATTACTCAAAATTAAACAGTATTGTAACAAGAACTTAACATTCAATAATATCAAATCACAAAACATCAAAATAAAATAATTATTTTGGAACAAACTCATTGATTTTCTGGAGATTATTTTGGAGAATTATTTTGGACAAGAAAATCTACAGAAAATCAACGAGTTTGTTCCGAAATACCTATTTTATTTTGATGTTTTGTGATTTGATATTATTGAATAGTAGGTTCCTGTTACAATACTGTATAATTTTGAGTAATTTTCGGTGTTAACAAAGAATAAAAATAACCTTGCACCAAAAACTTATTATTTCACTCTTCAAAAAAATTGACCGTGGTCAACACCATAGTTATGAAATGCGTAATATTATAGGCTTCTGAAATGAATCGTCTCAAACAGGATGCTATCTATTTATCGTTTCAGCAAATTTTTTTTTTCGTAGTGCCCATTTAAAAAAAATGGGTGAAAAATCACTTAGATGGCCATGACTTCAAATCTAGATATATTTTTTGATGCTGAACAACTTTTACGAATAATATTTCCATAGATTTTTGAAAATAAGGGTACTTTACTCTTGTCTCATAATCAAATATTTGAAGGCTCCTCGTATATTACGTGTGTTTTACTGTAATATGTTGATGTATTTTTAGTTTTAGGGGATGCACAAACTCTTATTAAGAATAACTTTTTGTCGAAAAACCCTAAATATAGAAGTGACCCATATGGTGCATACTTTGGGGATGACACTGTATACGTGGAAAAATTGAGGACTGGTTCCGTTCATTCCTAGATGGCAGGAAACTGATAGTTGGAGTGAATGATAAAACATCTGATGAATTCTTAGTGGACTCAGGAGTTCCTCAGGGTATCGACCTGGGTTCACTGATTTTTTTTATCTTGGCAAAAAACAGTGGATATCTAACTACAAAACGTGTTTACTGAATTTGAATTATTTATTCGATCCATCGCTCGGTTGAACCGTTTGAAGAAATGTGAAGAATGAGTAAGCAGTTTTCAGCATCTGGAAAAAAACACTTATTAAACATAACAACTGATATAAATCTCATTGTGCATTATATTAGTTCGGATTTCCATTGTCTAATCTAATATATAAAAATGAATGTTTGTTGGTTGGTTGGTTGGTTAGTTGGTTCGTTGGTTGGTTGGTTGGTTGGTTGGTTGGTTGGTTGCTTGGTTGGTAAGTGATAAACTTCTTCATCGCTCAACAGATCGTGATGAAACTTGACATGTATAAGTAATTTTCCATAGAGAAGGCTATCAATTTTTCTGTAACTCGCCACTAGATGGCGCTGTAGAACAATTTTTTGAAAGCACTGTTCTATAACGCTGCGCACGCCT